CTCAAATGCTACATTTGGTCAATCTTGACTTACGGCTGTGAAGCCTGGACTCTAACTGCTGACCTGGAGAAAAACTTAGAAGCAGCAGAAATGTGGTTTTTGAGAAGGATGTTGAAAGTGTCATTTATTGATCACGTCTCAAATGAAGAGGTTATGAGAAGAGCCGGTGTGAAGAGAGAACTACTCTCCGTAATAATCGAGAGACAACTTCGTTTTCTTGGCCACGTAGTTCGGAAGGAAGGCCTGGAATGTGTTGCGCTGCAAGGAAAAATCGAAGGGAAAAGAGCACGAGGCCGTCAACGCATAACGTATTTGGACAGAGTTAAGAAAGTTACCGGAATCGCCAACACTGCAGAAATCTTTGCCTGTGCTCGTAACCGTCAACGTTGGAGAGACATGGTAGCCCAAGCATGCATCATGCATGGCACCTGAACAGAACAGAACAGAAAAGAGTGGCATACCCAGCTGGATAATTGGGGGTGAATGCAATATTTGCATGTTCATGTTCTACTGTAATAAATTCATTTGAAATCAATTTTCTTTTGCGGATGATAACATGCTTAAATGAATACTTCCCCCCTCCAAATCATCAAGCCTAGATACACCACTACTGCAATAAAACAGGAAAAAGCACTAGATATGTACACATACACCTTCATTTATTATTTTAAAAGTGTTGTATTTCAAGGCTGACAAAATTTATAAACTTTCTTGAACATAAATGCTAAAATCTTTGTCTTCCAAGGCGAATGTAGTTTTTTATCAAATGTATTTTGTCATCTCATTTGTGCATAGTATCTTGCTTTCTTTTAGCAAAGCTTTCCCAGTCTTGGTGGTGGGGCTTTGCGGCAACACCTTAACCTTTGACCTGCTAAAAGGCAAAATCTAGTCATCATTTATGAAAAAAATCTTGGACTTATGACTTTTGCCTTTTAGCTGAAAGTAATCAAAGCAGAACTCCATCTTTACAACAACTATCTACATTAAAAAAAGCTGGTTTGTGGGAGAAACGAGTTATTTTTCCAGACAAGAACGCAGGATTTGTCGTATTGAAGTCAGTCATTAAAACTGAATTGCCTAAATTGAAATCACAAGATGAGGCGTTTGAATTTATGCGTGGAGAAGGTGGTGGATATTCACGGCCTCTTTGCCTGATTCTTATCCCATCAGATGGATACATTGTCCCATACATTAAGGATATGGTTGGTTCCAATACCACAATTTACATCTGCCCAATTAAAGAGCCATTGCCTGTTGAAAAAGCTCCAGTGCCCATCAGTCCAACTATCCCTTTAACTGTATGTACAAGATGCAATAAAAAACTTCCAATATTTGCCTTGCGTCAACATTCCAAACATTGTTGCTTTATATTAATTGAAGGTGAGACTACTGAAGATGAGGCTATTTCAAAAGAAGATGGCAAAGAAGTTGATGATGAAGTTACAGAGCTGAATGTTCCAAGCCAATCAGAAATTAGAAAAAAGCATGAACTTGAAGATCATAATAGGCCATGCACTTCTTCACAAAGCTGGTTAACAGAACTAATGAAAATATAGTAATCTTTTTCAACAGATAACTTTATCTAGGTTTTGTGCAACAGGCCCCAGACTATTAATGCCTTGTTCATTGTATTGTTAATAAACAGTTACTTTCAAATGTTTGTCTGCTGTTTAAAATTAATGTCACAAAACTTAAATTTCTACAGCTAACATTTTTTGTTTAATTAAGATGATCAATTATGAGTTTAACAGTTGGGATGATTATTGCCAGCTTGTGATTGAAGAATATTCTGAATAAAATTTATTGTGTTCAAATACATGTCTTGTCCATGTGATGATGATAATGCCGAAGGATCAACAATATTCCGAAAACTTTCCAATTGCCGGTCATTTAATGGGCAGGTTGTAGGTGGGACTTCTACGTAGCTTTCACAAGATATTTCACCACTGTATGTTTGACAAGGTAAAGGTCCCTCAAAATCTACACCATACATGTTTATGTTGGTTTGTTCGAACATTAGATTGTGGTTAATATTAAGTTGACTCAAACCATACACCCAAATCTGATTTGGAGTAATGTTGGATTCAGTTCATAATGGGTGATTATCATAGCCATTTCTAAAAAGATCAAGATGCCAATTAATTCTGAGAACAAAAACATAATGTAAACAAAAAATATGTAACTCATTATCCAGCTCCAAATGCCCATTTTCCTCAAGATACCAAAAGACATAATACAAAATAAATAAAGAACCATGAAAGAGTTTTCAATAGCTTTCAATACATTGATTGTGGCAGCTTTTATCGGCAATAAAACTACAACGATTAGGGCCCCTATCTGGATTGGCGAGCATGTACCACGCAACATCAATATTTTCTACTCCTTGATCACCCCTAACTCTTTCTGGGAGGCCAAAGTTATTAACAGCTTCAATAAAAAGGTTATACACAGTACTGGCTTTATTGTTTGTATTCGCTTTTAAATACATAATACGCCTTTAGTAGCCATCAATGCACCCATGAACAACAAACCACCATCTTATTAATTTATGGTTGCCATCCAGGTGCCATAAGAAAAATGGCCCAGGAATATAGTACTTCCTTCGGTTAACTAGCCTAAGTTGCATTGATCTTAATAAAATGCCATCTGGGTCAATTCTCCACAGAGATGATCTCGTTTTTTCCATTGCAATTGTACACCTCTTGCCATAAGAAATCCCTTCATTCTACGAATGCCATAATTAGGAAATTCTCTATAGATTTCTGAAACCATTTTATTAAGGTCATCGCTTGGAATATCAGTGTATTTGGGGACCTCTTCTTTCAAACCAAATTCTTTAATTCTCCGACTTATTGTTTTGTTCCAGATGTCATAATTTTATATGCATCCAAACTTTCCAAATCACGAAGTATCGTCAAAAAATAACCGCTGGCATCTGCATACCGTAAGGTTCAAGTCGTCGTTCAAGTCGACGAACTGAAACACGAGTCGACGAATTGAAACACGAGTCGACGAATTGAAACACGAGTCGACGAAAAGAACTCGGCTTTGCACGAGTCAAAGATTAAAAAATCGTGGCGAAGACATGAAACATCGATGCGAAGATATGAAACGCCTTTAAGATTTGTTATTTAATTTTTTCCCCTTCCTAACTCCATACAGCTGCTCATTTTGTCTCACAAGGCGAGGCTTGTTGCTGTTTGTGTATTCAATGTGACTGAATATTTAATCAGCAGGCTGAACTGCGATACTAGATCGCGCTCGGAGCTTTAAACGAGGCGCCATACACAATAAATTTTTGGTTGCTATGAGTGAAATCTATGGCAAATGTTTTGGTCTTTGCAAATCCGAGAAAAATCATCGAAAACGATAATTTTTCGCGACATGCTAAGTGGCATGTAACAATTATGGACGATGGCACTAATAAGATAAGAAAAATGTAACAAAAATATGACTGCATCCATTTTAACCATCGTACCTGACTTTTTTGTCTTTACTACTTTTAAATAACAGCACACCTTCCGTTTCCTTTTTTTTTGCTCATGGAAAATATTCATGTGGTTTTCAATATCTTCTTCGATGTTGCTTTGCGTTCACATGTTCAGGTTTGACCTTGGCTTTACAAAAAATTTTGCAGGTCATACTTTTAAATATTGGCTGTGCAAAGTCGCATAATGTGTCGAATTATCGTCTTTGAATTGTAAACTGACATAAAATGCTGATATTTAGACAAGCACTGATGGATTTGATTTCCTCTTCATTATTTTCAGTAACTACACACAAAATCACACCTCATTAGCCTCCAAATTTGCTAAAATTTAAAAAACAAACGCAATTGGGTTTTTGTTAGCAAAGAATAAAATTGATTATGATATTGAACAGCTCAGTTGTTTACACGGAGATCCGTGCAGTAGCGGATCTAGGGGTAGTCACAGCGAGCAGCAGCGAGCAAAATAAATTAAAGCTTCTTAATTTTAAAATCAAAGCACTTTCAGAAAAGCACTATTGGTTTTGAATTTCTAAGGAATATAATTTCCTAAATGGACTTGTCTCTGAGGGGCTCTGAAATATAAATATATTCCAAAGTGTGCAGCAGTAATATTTTTGACTAAACAAAGATCATGATAATCACATGATAAGCGACTTCTATAGCAATAAAAAATTTCTGCAAATTACTACAAATGCAACTTTGCCGCTCTAACTACTTAATTGTTTTTTTGTTGAGTTTTCACTCAATATAAACCTTTAGGTGGATGCTCTCCCGCAAACGTTAAACGTAGTCGTCTTAATTCTGGATTGTAATTTTGAATATTTTGGTGGAACATCAATCATATGTAGCTACTTGTTGCAGCCCACTCTTGGACAAATTGTACCCTAGTTTAATCTTTTCACTCGAGTATTTTTACAGCGGATTGGAAAGAGAGCAGTCCCATCATTCATTGTCTTGTCTACATCACTGCTCATTGAAAGGTTATTTTAACTATCGTTTTCGCACAATCTGTACGAAGTGCTGATTCACCGAACTCTCGAACCAACGCTTGCAAGCTATATTTATGTATAATTATTCGAAAGTTGTTTTAGGCGTTTACATGACTTGCAACTTTGCCATTCCATTTCTACCTACATTCTACCGCAATGACGCATTGCGGTGATGATGTGTTCTCTTAACATGACTATAGTATTTTACATCAATTTAATAATATCAGTTATATCTTATAATCTATAATAAGACACAGTCACACGCTACATAATTTGACATGACAATTTACAACACACTCCCCACCTTGATTAGTTCCACTAATCAAGCATAGTCCGTGTCTTCCATACAGAATCAAGAGCAGCGGCTCTCTTGCGTCTACCCTCATGTTCTGCCTCCCTTCCTCTCAGTCTTTTTTCATTCTCTTTGGTAAGAAAGAGCTTTTGGACAGGACGATTGAGGTGAATGACTTTACCGTTCTAAACTAGCCTGACCTTAGCGCCTCTTACCCCCACATCTCTCCCTAAAACAACTCCTCTATTACACCTGTCGTCCAATTTCCTCTTTTGACATTATCCTCATAAACAGTCATGACATCTTCCTTCTCTACTACCCTAATAACATTGTCCTTGTCCTGCTTATGAAACTGTCTTAAACCAACCAAATACTCTTTACGCCACCTATTCCAGAAATGCAATTTTTTCTTACTCAAATACCGATACCGTTGTTTACAGTAACCCTCATCAGGCTCTTTTTCACCAGAACCAGACCCTACGTCTGGCATGAACAACAGCTTTCTTCCCGTCACCAAATGCGAAGGAGTTAGTGGTTCACCACCCACCTCGTCGTACGTATAAGTCAATGGCCTAGAATTGAATGTTGCCTCAACTTCTACCATCGCTGTCAGTAGTTCGTCAAATGCCAACCTAGCATTTCCAAGTACCTTCTTCAAGCACCTCTTCACTGACCTAACCATTCTTTCAAAAAATCCACCCCACCAGGGAGCTCTTTCTAGATTGAATTTCCACTCTTTCCTATTGTTTCCCAAATACCCTTGCACACTTGCTATATTATAGAGGTTTTCTAAAGTCTTGACTGTTGCTTTGAATGATTTTGCATTGTCTGATACCATTAATGATGGGGTCCCCCTTATAGCTGAAAATCGTCTAAGGCATCTCATGAATTCATCCGCAGACAAATCCTTAACTAGGTCTAAATGTATGGCCCTAGTTACGCAACAGGAAAACAATGCGATGTATTCTTTGTCTGTCCCCCCTGATGTATTCTTCACATATAGTGGTCCAGTCATGGTTCCGCTTGGTCTACTCAGAATGCTGGAAGGTTTGCTTCGTTAGGTCTATTATATGGTTTACCCTCTAATTTCCTACACACGACACATTTGTTGAGAATCGATTTTACTTTCTGTCTGCTTTGTGGAATCCAGAACCTTGACCTTATATCTGCTAAAGTTGCCCTAACTCCACAATGCCCAACTATTAGTTCCGTCAATCGACCTTCATTTGGTAATAAGATTGGAAACTTCGTTTCCTCTTCCATGTCTGATTCTGCTAATCTACCCTGACGTTTTAATAACCCCTCATCTTCTACTACCTCGAGTTGTACCTTGTCTGTCTGTATAACTGCTTGAACTTATCCTCCTTCTTCAGCCTGTCTTGTAAAGCCTTCAACCAAATTTTTCTGCTTTACTTATCTCCTCACTCCCTAATTCCGTGAAGTTTAAATCTTCATGTTTCCCTTTGATCCTAGCAATCAAATTCCTGACAACTCGTGTGACCCATGCCGTTACCCGGAATAACTTCTCAACCCTACTGTACCTCTCTATAGAGATCATGACTGAATATCTATTTCTTCGTTAGCATCTACTACTAATAGTGCTGTTCGCTTTTCTCCTTCTTTACTCTCCTCTGTCTACCTCTGATTGCGGCCATTCTCTTTCTACGCTACTCAGCCACCTTGGTCCTGTCCACCAAAGTGATTGCTCTTGTATCTTCGACGCAAACACTCCCCTGCTTCCTAAATCAGCGGGATTTTCCATTCCTGGACAATGTCCCCAGTTCTCCTCCTGCGTTGTTGCTAAGATCTCATTTACTCTATGTCTAACAAACTGTTTCCACTCACCGCGATTCTGAATCCAATATAATGCTGTAATACTATCTAACCAGTACCTTCCTTCTATTTTCCCTACTTGGCCTACTAAAGGTTTTTAAACTAAGCTTTAATTTCTCTCACAAGAATTTTCAGCTATGCAATCATGACTAGCTAGGGCTTTATAATAGTGAACTTGACGAATTATAATGGTTTGAAATCAAAAGTTACTCGTTCGCAGTCAGAGAAATAACTAAAACGTTAATTGGTGGGTGGTGGTGGGGAGTGCATATTCATATATTCCCTTTTGCCCTACTGGTTTCTTTTAAAAGTGAATTGAATTTTAAAAGAAATTTATATGGCAAAACTGAATACACGAATATACACTCCCCCCTAATTAACATCGCTGCTGTTTGATTTGTTTTCAAAACTGGCTTTTAATGGCGGTCACATTTGTAGAAACTATTATCTGTTGGTTATGACGTCATAACCTACAGATATCGAGTATTAACTACAGTTAGTTGACCAATCTGAGCCGAGTACAGTCACATAGGGAATAAAAATTGTTTCTAGTGGTTGAAAAATGTGTCGACATCAAAAATTTATCCAGAAACATTAAATATACTTAAACAAAATACTGCCCAGCGTTGGCAGAAACATTCCGCAGCTCGTGGTAGGAGCTCTAACTATGAATTTCCATTAATACATGGAAACTATTTTATGTTGTATAACATTTGTTATACAACTATATCAAAGTCGAGAAAAATTTTGCGCTTAGAAATCTAATTCATAATTCTTAATTTTAAAAGCACTGAAAATCAGCTTCAAACTCAACTTACTATAATGTTGATTTTATAATCTTTGATATGAAATATTTGTTTAGTAGTCTTTTTTCGCCTCCATGTAGGCAAACTTGGAAGATTGTTTTGCCTTGTGATACGTAGAAATGTGCTTTCATTTAAAGCAAGATAGTTGTTTTATGAAATTTTGAAAAACATCATTTAAATCAAACACTTGGACATAAATCGATAAAACACTAGCAATATTTTTACAGAAAAAAAATTACATTCGATTCGTCAGATAGGAATTCAGTATTACAAAAGTCACAGTGGAATTTATAATCACATTGTGTACTCACGTTTTTGTGGGTAGCCGCTGCGCATAAACGGCTAACCACTATGCTACATTGAAAAAGTGTTCATCGGTTAGTCTGTCCTCGGACTTAGTCGGAAATACGCGCTATGACGAGGAGGGCCGTTTAGTATTTTCGTTATTTTGTCAGAAAATATCGCAATGTTGTTTTCCAAACAATTTTTCATTTCATTCTGTCGATTGACTCAGAGCGAATTTTCGGTCAGGGAAACCTAAACTTTGTGTCTTAAAGTTAATTAAGGGAATTTTGTCTTTAAATTGTTGAGCTTGCCTAATTCTTTGCTTTCTGATCGAAAGTTTACGCTGAAATTGTACTGTGCGTAAGGTCAATTAGAAAATAAATACAAGCGCACATACATAACATAGTACATATGTACGTAATACGTTAGCTATTTGTGAATTGTAAAGCGTCTGTTGGCTTACAAAGATTAAGCAGAAGTTATAGACAATTAGCAAAGAATCGTCGTTGATATAATCCTGTGAAAATGTTGTTATTTTGAGAAATATTAGCTAAAACATTACGACTGAAAATGTATTTATTGCCTGTTGTAATTTATTCAGTCAAGCGGTACTTAACATGAGCTCAATTCATGATTATATAAACGAATTTTTTTACTCTTCAGATTATTTTTCTAGTCTGTAATATAGTCTATTTTAGTTCAATGCTCTTCACAAACCTCCATAAAAAGTAACCTCTGAAATGTATATAATACAATTTACTGACTTGTAATAGGTCCAATTTGGCATTATTCGCATTGCTTATGCATCGCTCGATTTACTCATCCAGACTTAGAGTAGTTTAATCAAACGCCGAAAGCAAATGATTTAATTTTGCTTTCAAATATTGTGCGAATTACCAGTATTATTTGTGTGGCTTACAATTTTACATCTAGTAAAATATGATACGTGTCAAACTATAAACTCCATGAACAAGAAATACAAAATACTTCCGTTCATTTGCAATCCTTGAGCAAAATGTTTCACTATCAAACATCGTTTGCAGCAAACAAAAAATCGTTCGAAATATAAACACTTTTCAAAACGTGATTAGAAAAAAGTAAATATAAAACACGATCAGCTGGCTCAAAACACAATTGATTCCCTGTATAATTATGTTGAATAACATGTCATAAGCACGTCGTGCTTACCGTATTTCTTGGAACAAGCGCCGCCCCCGAGCTAGCACTAACTTTTGATAAACGCCGCACGTGTGGCGAAAACATTAAATTAGCACCGCTGCACTTGTTCGAAAAAATGCGGTATTCATGGTTTGGAGGAAGAATGTTCTCTAAACACATCTAAGAAACGTCAGAAAACGCTTTTAAAACACAACTATGGAAAAATGGTTTTCAGTGAGAAAAAACCTATAAAAAGTTGCAGGAAATCTAAATGACGTTCTTTCCTTGATATGATTCTTGTGAGCACATGCATTTATGAGGCGTGCAATCTAAGCTAAAACGTTCGAAAAATGCAGAAATGGTTAAACACTTACTTAGTCAAATAACTGAAATCAATTTTATAATATTGAACGAGTTTGGTGTGATTAATATTAAATATAGAATTGTATTTGAATTTTGTTCATTTACCTACTTCCTTAGCCCTAATTACTTGATAGGCTACCTACGTGTACGCATTGCGTACCTGTTTTTCATTATGTACCTCAAAATTCCAATGATTTATTGCATATATATGATATATTTTCTGTACCAGCGAACTAAACATAACTGGAAGGCTACATTTGCCCGGAGACTTAAAGCCGAAGTCAACATTATCGTTACCAGTCTTTCCACGCTTTTGATAAACACGGCTAAAACAAAATATTTCGGTATTTTTTGAAGAAATTGTGAAAAAAAAAATCGCAAAAAAATATTTCAAAATGATGTAAATTTGTCCAACTTACTTATAGCAATATTTTAAGGTTAATACAAGGTTACACATTTTTTGTTGAAAAAAAGAATTTAACAAACCTTGACTAATGCGGACGTTTTCGAGATTTTGCAAAGATGCATTGTTATGTTGACACCAGGGGTGGATCTAGGGTATGTCAAATCAGTCGCGCGACTGATGTTTATAGTTTAAAAATTATTTATCAAATTTAATGATTACAATTATTTGTGATCATTAAATTCCTGTTCTGTAATCGTCAATCGATTTCATTATCAATATACTGTTTTATATATGAAAAATTATACAAACACCACCTTAGTAAACAGATCAATAGGTTTTAACATATCTGGAATTATATTAACTTGCTGACTGATAAGCGGGATGGCTGAACTGGTTCGACCGATAACGGAGTTTAAGAACGCTTATTTAAGCCATTCCATTGGTCAATAGCCAGATCAGTTGACGACCTGGAACAATCTTGACCGATAAACGGGATGGCCGGACCGATAAGGGAGTGTAAAGGCTATCGTGTAATTAGTTCGTTTAAATTTTTGTCTTACTGTGATTGGTTTCACCGATTTCGACTGATAGCCAACTGAACTAACATAGTCAAGCTCATTGTCTCAATTGAATGTTTGATCGATTCATAGTAATTTTCTAAAGCATGATAGAAACTATAATCAGATGGAATTTATGGAAATCTTTTACAAATTCATATATGGACCTGAATACTGCTTTCTAGGCTTAGTTCGTGATTTGTGACCAATTTTCTTTCATTCCCGTTCGACACTTCCAGGAAGATTGTGAAAAATTCAAGACAGTACGACTTTTACATGCTTAATTCAGTTTTACTTTTTGTCATCTCCAAAAAGCTGCAGTTTTTTTGCCATATTGCATTGAAATTTTAAAATTTGTAGCTCATTACAATTTTGGAATCCGCCATTTTTTCGGAGAAACTTCATGTTATTTATATTTTCTGTGCTAATGCCAGACCTAATAGAGAGCTATTCCGCACGATAATTCTGGCAACATAATAAAATGCCTAAAAGAAAAAGAAAATTTCACTAGTGTATTAGGTTTGATTTTAGCAATTGTTGCGAAAATAATATTTTGAAAGTTATAATCGTATTCTGCAAGACAAGGCGCACTTTCTTTAAAGGTCTG